AATAAATGCTTATTACATATCTAAGTTATACTCCAATACCATGTCAAGGGGCCTGCAAGGTCAAAACGATTTTCATAATATTTTCCAAATGACCAATTCATAATGTTAGACAAGCATGCATGAGTAAAAGATCCATTAAAAGTGCAAGATAAACCAATGGATTTATATTTTGTACAGTACAAAAAGTTCATTGGTACAGTTTTCAGATTCCATGTTTGTCTGGTTACCTGGTGCTGCTCTGACGAGAAATATACCACAAATGGGATGGTCTTAACAAACAGGAGTTTACTCTTACAATTTGGAGGCTTTAAGTCCAAGTTCAAAGTGACAAGCTTTAGGGGCTGGGTGAAAGGCCCTCAACCTTGGGGTCAAGCTTTGACTCCTGCTCCCAGCCCACTGGAGCTAGAGGCATTTCTTCACTCAGACTGGCTCCTGAGGCTGAGAAGCCCCAAGGTTGACAAGTCAAAAGGCATAGTCCCAATGTTACCAAACCATACGGCAGGCCGTTAACTTAAGTCCATCGTAAGTCCCAAGGTCGGCAGAGCATAGCAGGCTGCTGAGCAACAACATGGCTACATATTGGGTCCAAGCATGCCATAGGCTAGAGACCATTCCCAAAGCTTCTCCTTTAATACAGGAAGCAGACCACATTCCCAAAGGCAGCTATTCAGCTGCTTGTTGTAGATTCCACCATGGAGTTGATTGCCAGTCTCATCATGGAGAATAACTACCACCAGCTGCCCAGCCACTCAACCAGGCCCAGCCAAGTTGACACACAAACATAACTACCACAACATAATATATATGTGGGCCAACTATTGTAGTTTTCCTAGGACTTAAGAGTTTCCTGGGACACAAGGCTTTCAGTGCTAAAAAAAAAGGAGGGGGTGGAAATCCCAGGCAAACCAGGACAAATTTGTCACCCTAATTGCAACTAACCTTTAAGAAGCTACTACTTTTCAGGTTTCTATGTACAATTTAAAAAGAATATGCACTATTATCTGAAAGTCTATGAAAGTATTCCTCCCTTTTCAACTACATATATATACATGGTAAGACCAGATTTTCTTCATATACTTCAGGCAAAACAAAATATTATAAAAGATTGAATACACAGTCAGATATAAGGATCAGGCGTCTTCTGTTAAGCCACATATTAAAGAGATTTTCAAGCATGTAAAACAATGCCACACTTCTCACTAATTTTTATCTGAAAAATATAGTGATTTTTAACAAACTGCTATTTATGTTCACATGTAATTGGTTTATTGTTAATTAAGCAACTTTTTTTACTTTCTCAGTTTTAATTTTTAATAAGTAAACATCAATAACTGTAATCCACATAACATATGTTCTATGGTGTTTTCAATCATTTTGAAGAACATAAAGGGGTTGTAAAACACAAATGCTGGTCTATGATAACTTTTCACTAGGTGAAAGTGAAATTAAAAACAAAACAAAAGGTGTATGTATATGTATATGTGTATACATATATGAATGTATACACACACACACACACACACACACA